CTGATGCTGCTGGGCCCAGAGACCACACTTTGAAAAACCACTGTGCTAGCAGTTCTGACCAACCCAAGTGCACTGGAAAAGGGTGTCTGACCTGAGACCTCCAGCCTCCACAACTGCTACCCGGCCCAGGCTGTGCTGAGAGACAGCCAAGCACGCCATTCACTTCCTCAACAGACTTTCATTTTCCTGCTGCTTTTACTGTTTGTTTGTTTGTTTGTTTGTTTGTTTGTTTGTTTGTTTGTTTGTTTGTTTTAGAGTGGCCTCTCTATCTCAGTATTTGTTTTACCATAGAGTGACATGGATGCGAGCCAAATCCAGATAGCTGGAGATGACGTGGATTTGCCGGAAGATCTCCGGAAAATGGTCGATGAAGACGAAGAAGAGGAAGAAGACAAGGATTCTATTCTTGGGCAGTTACAGAATCTTCCGAACATGGACTTGGATGCCATAAAAGAAAAGGCCCAGGCCACCTTCACAGAAATCAAGCAGACGGCAGAGCACAAGTGTTCTATGATGTGAGGGGCGGGAGGGGGTGAGGCAGGGACCAGGTCAAGGCGGAGGTGACCGCTCTGGTATAGAGCATTTAGAGCAGCATATACTTTAAGTAGTGGACACAGCTGGAAAAACCATGATTACTAAACACGTAGACAGCAACTTGGTGTTCCAGCTTTCCCGGTAGAGCATATAGCTAGCACCTGGCAGCAAGGAACACACTTTCCTTTTAAGTAGACGTGTAGCCGAGTATCGAATTTCAGCTGTGAACCGAGGAGGACACCTATCTGCTTAATGATCTTCAGTTCAGCCAGGAGGACATGAAAGCCAATGGGATTTCTTCTCCAACTTCCTTCCTTAAGAGGGCAAGGTCTCACTCTGTCCAACCATTAGCATGACTCCAGGTCCCTTCAGAGAAAGATGTGACAGCTCAGGGTGCCTCCAGGAGCCCAGGCTGCAGGCTCACAAGCAAGCAAAGATCACACCACTTCTCACTCCCAGGCCCCTTGATGTCCCTGATGCTTCTCAAGCGTGGCACTTGGACAAGGGGCAGTAGCAGGCAGGTGGTAAAAGATGAGAATGAAGGCAGAGAACAGACTTCATCAGCCATTTGCCTCATTGATCATCATTCCAGAGGCTGTGTGAAGCATGGACTTGAGGGGGCAAGAAGCAGGGGCCGACTGGGAAGGTCATCGCTGTTGCTTTTTTTTTTAATTTTAGCTGAGCCTTCCTGCCACCTGTTGGCAGCTCAGCGGCAGCTCAGCTCGGGCCGGACTCAAACCGCTGTTGCTCAGAGCTCAAACCCTTGAGCAAGCTCTTAACCAACTGAGCCACTCAGCCGACCCAGGTCATCACTGTTTCTGCGTTCAGCGCTATTTCCTCATGTCTGAGCTTGGCAATAGCAGTGAGAACAAACGGAGTGGACACATAGAGCCCTGAGAAGTTAAATCAATCTCTGTGTGTGTCTCCCTCCCTCTCACCCCCGTTCCTCTCTCATCCTCTTTTCCTCTTGTTGCCCCCTCTTTCTACCTCTCCTTATTTTTTCTCTCTGGTCCCTCCCCATCCCAACCCTCCAGACTAGTTTCCAATAAATCATGCTGTCATTCCGTGCCCCAGTCATCCAGGGTATACACAGGTGTTTTCTTTTCCCTAACATGTGCTCTCTTTCAAGGGAATTACTCAAAAGACTTAGAACGTTTACCTCCAAAACACTTTGGTTAACCAAAGCCGAGCAAACCAAAACAAAATACTGGTTGTTCAGTGAATGTTCATAGAATAAATAATTCTGAAAGACAAATTTTATCAAGAAAAGCTGCTCTATTGGAGGAAAGGGAGCTAAGAACAAAAAAGTCAGGGGTTAACCTATTCATACCCAGAGATCCTGAATGTGCCATATAAGGAATTTCATGTTATGAAAATATGTAAATAAAACAAATTACTAGGGTTCCAGAACCACCCATCTCCAGAGTTTTCCCTTCTTCCCCAACTGAAACTCTGTACCCATTGAACACTAACTCCCATTCCTCTTTTCCCTGGCCTGGCAACCACAATTCTACTTTCAGTCACTATGAGTGTGAGTATAATATTATAAGAGCTTCATATGAGTGGATCATATAATATTTGTCCTTTGATGACTGGCTTTTTTCACTTACCATAATATCCTCAAGGTTCATATCTGTTATAGCATATATGTGTCATAATTTCCTTCCTTTTAATGGCTGAATAATATTCCATTGGATGTAGATACCACATTTTATTTATCCATGGATGCTTGGGTTGCTTCCACCTGTTAACTATTGTAAATGTTGCTACTATGAACATGAGTGTACAACTATCTATTCTAGTCTCTGCTTCCAGTTCTTTGCAGTGAAATTAGGTGGAATTCCACCCAGGAGTGGAATTGCTGGCTCTTCCCTAAGTTTTTGTCTATGTTAGAAATATTGGTTTGGGGGGGCTACAAAAATTATGCTTGGGGAAAGTTATAAAATTTGATATCATACAAATTAAATTCAGATTCAGAAATCTTGGAATTTTTTTGCCTTTTAAAAAACCTTTTATTATGGAAAAATCTCAAACCTTAGAAATACTTGTAGTAATGCAAGTATAACAAATCCACATATACCCAAGTTTAGCTTCTTTGCCCTAAAGTGCTGCTATCTTTGGAAAATTATACTATATTGTTACAACTTCATCTATAAACTGATGGTATCATTTTTAGATGGCATCTAATTCCTGGAGCTATAGAAAGGTAGCATAAATGTACGAAGTGATGCTTGCTTGTTTTGTTAAGGCATTTCAGAAACGTTTAAAGGCTTCCTACTTGTACTTCCTTAAAGCTCATGCCTTTAACTTACAGTGCACATATCCTGAAGTAACGTGCAGTAAGCTCCTGGCATTTGAATGAAGACACTTCTGGGAAGCATCTTGAAAACCCTATTGAAAGCATCTGGTGGTTTAAAAGGGACTAATTAGATTGGTCAGGGCATGTACTTGTAAGACCAGCATTTTTAGGGCTTAAGGATTCAAAGGAGAAAGTGCAATAAAAATTGACAAATATCCATAAAATTGCCGTCAACTGTAAAAGTAAACTAAAGCTATTAGTATACAGTAGAGTGGCAGGAGCCACTTTGGAAAAAGAGTGGCACTTGCTAAAATGATGCACCCCACTCAGAGAGAAGGCAGGGCAGGGCGGGCTCTGAG